TAACTTTTTTTCATGGTGTTTGTCAAACACAAGTTTTAACTGTTATGTTTAACTAAATGAGTATGCTCTTCTGTTCACAAATAATGGTGGTGACCAGGTATGGCCACTTGTCCCAGGTAGGACCAATCACATTCTCTACTGAAAATTTGAAATTGCCATCAAAAGGCAATCAGTTAGTTGCTACCAATTTGTAACAACTACAATGAATAATTCATGTCTTTCTGTGTAATTACAATTTTAAGATGAGTAAATTTAGGGGCATGTAAAACTCAGGAAGTATGCAGCACCTCTGTTCTTACATTGGATTAAAAACAGCAGGCCAGGAACAGTGGCTCAAGCCTATAATCCCAGCACTTTGGGCGGCTGAGGTGAGAGGATTGCCTAAGCCGACAGGTTTGAGACCAGCCTGGGCAACTTGGCGAGACCTCATCTCTACAATAAATTTTAAAAATTAGCCAGGTGTGGTGGCACGTGCCTGTAGTTCCAGCTTACTTGGAAGGCTGAGGCGGAAGGATCGTCTGAGCCCAGCAGGTTGAAGCTGCGGTTGCCGTGAGTGTGCCACTGCACTCCAGCCTGGGTGACAGTGAAACTTCATCTCAAAACAAAAAAAAAAAGCAGCAAAAGTGAAAAATAGTTAATAGTCATTGCCTCTCTCAGCCCACCCTCAGACCCCATTTCCCATGATTCAGTCATTAAAGAGTTAATATTTGGCCAGGTGCAGTGGCTCATGCCTGTAATTCCAGTACTTTGGGAGGTGGTGAGAGGATTGCCTGAGCCCAGGGGTTCGAGACCAGCCTGGGCAACTTGGTGAGACCTCGTCTCTACAATAAATCAAAAAATTAGCTAGACATGGTGGTGCATGCCTGTAGTCCCAGCTACTCGAGAGGCCGAGGCAGAAGGATCACCTGAGTCCAGCAGGTCAAGGCTGGGGTGCTGCAAGCATGTCACTGCACTCAAGCCTGGGCAACAGTGAGACTCTAACTCAAACAAAAACAAACAAAAAGAGTTAATGTTAGCACAACAGGGACTGTATCTTTCAGGTCATAGACCTTAGTTCTGATTTATTGATAATTATGCTATTTTAGTTTTTCTATATTCTGAATATCATTCCTGCCTGGTTCCAAATAGTGCTAGAAAGCCTTGCTTCACCCTTCTCTGTTGTGGAGTGACATATGATAGGATGAGTTCAGGTTAGGACACTAATTAGATCTGAGACTCAATTGTACCACCCACAGTCACTGAAGTACTTAGAAGTGAGATTAGTATTAACCCGAGAGCACTGAGAAGCTAGTGGCTTCATTTAGGCCATGACCACACAATCTCTTTCACGTCTGGCCTCTTCTCTCCAGCCCTGTACTGCACTGCCTGAGACCTGGTTCAGACTCTTGTCTCATCTGAGCGCTCCTGTTTCCAGACTTTTCAATCTATTTCCCATATGGCTCCCAGTTTCACTACCCTGAGTGCCTCACTGATTGATTCAGTTGGTGCGATGGTGAAGAAAGATACCAAAGAAGACTGGACTGTATTGTTCAGTGTGCCTGGGCTCACATTCTTGCCTTGTTGCTGCTGTGTGATCTCAGAAAATTATGTTATTCTAAAACTTGAGTCTCCTCTTAAGACAGGGATATTATTACCATTCTCACATCATCTCTTCAGGCCCTGATCTCCTATAATCTGCATTAAATAATTTACTTCTTTTTTTTTTTTTTGAGTTGGAGTCTCACTCTGTCGCCCAGGCTAGAGTGCAGTGGCACGCTCATGGCCACCGTTAGCCTCAACCTGCTGGGCTCAGGCGATCCTTCTAAATAGCTGGAACCACACGCCACTATGCCCGGTTAATTTTTGTATTTATTGTGGAGACCAGGTCTCACCAGCTTGTCTAGGCTGGTCTCGAACCCCTGGGCTCGGGCAGTCCCCTTGCTTCCGCCTCCCAAAGTGCTAGGATTACAGGCGTGAGCCACTGTGCCCAGCACTTCATACTGTTTATATCCTCTGCTAGTCCAAAAATTCCAAGAGCAAGGATCTTACTGTATTAAACTGCATAGGGTGCCTCGCCTGGTTCTTGGTAGCCGTAGGTCCTTTGTAAATAAATTCCTCCAGAGTTGAGCTAAATCAACTCTTACTTTCAAATATCAAAATGTTGAAAATGCAATCAATCCAGATGTTTTCACATTGGCAGATTATATGCGAGTTGATTTCCCCCTTAGATGATAGTCAGTAGCTCTGAAACTTTGTACACTCCCAACAATTTCTGTAAAACCCTCAATGACTTTTATTCTCTATAACTAGATACTATGGGCCAAGAATCCCAGCACTTTTGCCCCTTCACTTGGAAGCTGGCAAAACGAATTACCAGGGTGACCCCTCCCAACAGAGCACATGATCAGCCACAGCTGTGCATGTTTTTAAGTATGACTGCACCAGGATAGGGCTCCAAGCCACTGGGTGGAGCAATGTGCTCTGGGGAGAAAGCTTATGACATTTCCCCTATGATTTCAGAAAAGAAAAGAAAAAAAAAATCCTTTTTCTTATTAGTTGTTTCTGCTCAGTGACAATAGGAAATATCACAGCATACCAAGTTTACATACAACCATCACTGCAGAGGGAGAGAATTTAACTGCATTGAGTGAAGGAAGGCAGACATTACTAGCTAGTTGCCTACTCAACTTCCATTTCATTTTCTTCCCTTGATGACAGAAGCCCAATTTTATTGGCCGTGACAATGTATACAGATAGAAGACAATTTCCCAGTCTCCCTTGGAGGGCTATGTTCCAGCCAGTGAGATGTAAACAGAAGTGTTGTTTCTAATGCAAGTGTTGTGTGAAATGTGCTTTTTTTTTTTTTTAAGAGCTAAGCGGCTTCCAGAACTTCCAGCTCCAATTCAAGCAGGTTGCTTAAAAGAAGCTGACTACATTTGAAAGGTGTGCTCTGTTTTGCCTGCTTGCCTTCTCCTTCTTCTGGTTGAATGTCATTTTGATGGCTGGAGCTCCAGTAGCTATCATGGAACTTGTGGTGATCTTGAGGATGGAAGACACAGCACAGGCTGGTAGGATGGAACAGGATGGACCAGAAATGCTGGGTGCCAGATGACTGAGGAGCCACCATACCCACTAGATACATAGTTTCCACTGCTACTGTGAAAGAAAAATTTAAAACTCACAACAAAGCCTTGCATCTGGCTTACGCCACATTTTTTTTTTTTTTTTGAGTCAGGGGTCTCACTCTGTCACCCAGGCTGGAGTGCAGTGGCACACTCATGGACACCGGTCTCAACCTGCTGGGTTCAGTGATCCTTCTGCTTTAGTCTTCCAAGTAGCTGGAACTACAGGCATGCGCCGCCATGCCCGGCTAATTTTTTTTATTTATTGTACAGACGAGCTCTCGCCATTTTGCCCAAGCTGGTGTCGAACCTGTGGGCTCAGGTAATCCTCTCACCTCCGCTTTCCAAAGCGCTAGGATTACAGGTGTGAGCCACCTTGCCCAGTTTTTACCCTGATTTTTAAGAAGTCAGTTTTCTGTTATATGCAGCCTATTCATTCTGTCCAAACAAGGCATGAACACAGAGGTTTTACTGCAGCTCAATTTTTTATTATAATAGCAGAAAAATTGGTAATCAATGCTCATCAATGGGGAAATAAACTATTGGTGTAATAATACCAAAGAAACAATGCAGCCATATAAAGAATGAAAGTTCTTCATCTCATTTTTTTTTTTCTTAGTAGGAGTCTCACTCTGTCGCCTAGGGTGGAGTGCAGTGGCACGCTCACGGCCACCGCAGCCTTGACCTGCTGGGCTCAGGTGATCCTTCCACCTCAGCCTTCCAAGTAGCTGTAATTGCAGGCACCCACCATCACGCCCGGCTAATTTTTTGATTTATTGTAGAGATGAGGTCTCGCCAAGTTGCTCAGGCTGGTCTCAAACCCCTGGACTCAGGCAGTCCTCTCGTCTCTGCCTCCCAAAGTGCTGGGATTACAGTTGTGAGTCACCATGCCCAGCCTTCTTCATGTCATATTGTTAAATGGAAAACACTCAGGGTACTCAGTATGCTTAATGGTTTGACAGTATGCTGCCATAAACATATAAATGCAACAAAACCACTTCTAGAATACTTTGATGTTTGTAAATGTATAGAGAAATGTATGCAATTATGGGACGAACTGATAACTGTTTAGAATTGTGGGATCAAAATTTAAACTTTGTATGTTTTAATATTTTACAACTACAGTGAGTGATTCATGTTTCATGTCACTGAAAATTTTAAATAAATCAGCTGATCTGCCTTTAAACTCATGGAATCTTAAAGCATCTCTGACCAGAATCGTTTTAAGAAACAAAAAACAGCGTGATTCAGCCTTGAAAAGGATTAGTCAGAGCCTACAGTATTCGGCTGAAATTAAAAGAAAGACTGAAGTTATTTTTAAAAAACGAAAACTAGCGATTAGAAAAAGAGCTTTTCGAGTTTAGAAGGGGACAGTAATACTGAAAGCTGGCTGAACTGAATCTTCTCTAATTAAAAGGAAAGCAAGGGGCCCCACCTATGTATGACTTTCTGGAAAAAGCAACCCTACCTGCCATAACTTCTTTTTAACTGGCTGCTCTCAAAGGAAATTGCAGAAGGCTGAGGGTAAACGTCTGACACCCAGAAACCGGCTTTCATAGAGCCAAGGCAGCTTCCAGAACTTCCAGCTCCAATTCGTTTCACAGGCGAGAAACCAAGGCCTCGAGGGACGCTGGTGGTTTCTGGAGGCCCTTGAAGGAACTTTTGGACCTGGCCCGTGCGTTCCAGAGAAAAAGGTCGGCCTCGGACGGAGAACGAAAAAGAGCAGCCGAGGACCCAACCGGCCGGGGCACAAGACATCCGCCCCATTCGGGGGCGGAGCCTGAGGGGCGGGCCAACATGGCGGAGGGGCGGGGCTTCCAGGGCTGGGGAAAGGAGGAACCAGGACGGGGCGGGGCCCGGGAGGCTAGCGAGGGCCGGAGGGCGGGGCTGAGGGCGAGGCCGGGGCGGGGCCCGCGCAGGTCTGGTCGGCACGGCAGCGCGGCGCTGTGCGGAAAAGATGGCGGCCTCCAGCTGGGCCCGCACGGCGGTGGTCCTGCTTTGTGCCTCTGACCTGCTGCTGCTGCTCCTGCTGCTGCCGCCGCCTGGGGCCTACGCGGCTGAGGATTCGGCCCGGACGCCTGGAAAAGCTACTCCACCTCCCCGGAAGAAGAAGGATATTCGCGATTACAATGATGCGGACATGGCGCGTCTTCTGGAACAGTGGGAGGTCCGCGGCGCGCGCTCACCCTCCTGGCTCTTTCTGTCCCGGACCCCGCTCCCACTGACCCCTTACCCCTTCCGTCTTGGGACCCTCATGACGCCTGTCTCGGTGTCTTCTGGCTTTCTAATGTCCCATTCCATGAGTTCTAACTGATCCACTCAAACCATCGCTGACCCTCGATGCCTCTTCTGACTCTCTCACGCCCTGCCGACCCCCGTCTCAGGCCCCTCTTCCCAGTGCTCTTTTCCACATGCCACCGTTTCTCAGGCTACCCCCTTCACTGGCCCGCCTCTCGCTATTCAGTCCTGCGTTCCCTTCAGTGCCCTGGTTGCCTCTGCGTTGATTCCCGTGGTCGGGGACTCCTGCAAACGGGGACAGAGACCTTTTCCACTCTTCTACTCAAGACCTTTTCTTCAGTTTCCCCTTTGTTTTGGAGTGAGTGGGTGGGTTGCGTTGATGATTGTCTTTGGAGAGGGTTCTTTCAGCTTTGGTCGTTCTCTTGTCTTCTAAATCAGTAGAATTTAGGACTTCCCACTTTGGTATGCCCCTGCTAGAAACCTTGTAATTTTGTGGGTGAATTTATTCTAGGGAGAGGAAGTAGCAAAGACTAGTAGTGATTCTGTGTCGTGGAACTCACTTTTTGTTCAAAGGTGCAATGACTTGTATTTTCAGAACTTTTCTGTTTTGTTACAAGGAGCGTGTGATAAGCTTTTAAGGTAAAGTTCACTAACCAAAAACACGTTGCTGCTTTTTTCCCTTCCAAAGGTTGTTGAATTGTCCTGGTTGATTTGCACAACTTTGTAACCTGGGGCAGGTCATGTCTGCTTTCTGGGCCTCAGTTATCTTATCTGCAAAATGAGGAGGTTTTACTAAATGATTTCTAAGATTCCTTTCAACACTGATGTTTTATTATCTCTGTGTGTTGGGGGTAAAGACTTTCAGATATGAATTTAAATGCCACCTGATGCGTTTCACTAGAAGAAAGCAGACTTGTATCTTCATGTGTTATTCGCAGCTGCTGGAAAGATTGGGGTAGACTTGAATGTGAAGAGGGAACTTGAGCATTCACCATCTCCCTTGCAATCTTCGTGTGTCTTTTTGGACTCCAGCAAATAAAGCTTTTTGGTCTGCCAGAAGGAGAACAGCACCTCATGAAGTCTTACGCTGGAAATAACTAGACCCTGAGCTAGATCAAGAGGGTGCTGCAGAGATGAACAAGGATTCCATCAGGAATAGTAGATGACATTAAAATAACTGTAATACAAAGTCGAAATTTCTGAGTGCTATAAAAAGAAAGTACTGTGGGAATCTCAAAGGGCTTCAGGAAGGAAATGGCATTTTAGATAGGCCAAGGAAAATGTAAGGGCAGTGGCATTTTGGTTTAGTTTAGTTTAATTCATTATTTAATTAATTAACTTATTAATTTTTGAGTTGGAGTCTCACTCTGTCGCCCGGGCTGAAGGGTAGTGGCACGCTCACAGCCACCACAGCCTTCCAGGTAGCTGGAACTACAGGCATACGTCATTACGCCCGGTTAATTTTTTGATTAATTTTAGAGATGAGGTCTCACCAAGTTGCCCAGACTGGTCTTGAAGACAGTCCTTTCACCTCGGCCCCACAAAGTGCTGGGAATATAGGGGTGAGCCACCGTGCCCGGCACTTTTTTTTTTAACATTGAAAGATATAGTCTATTTAGAAAGCATACTAGAGAGAGAGGAGATTGACCTCTCCAAGGTCCACACCTAGCAAAGCTAGGAAACATGGTAGCCATAGCTCCTGTAGCCACGTGGCCAGATCATAGCCTAGCAAAGCAATGGTAAAAAAGTAAATTAGAGAGAGACTGGGTGTGGTTGCTCATGCCTATAATCCCAGAACTTTGAAAGGCTGAGGTGAGAGGATTGCCTGAGCCCACGGGTTCGAAACCAGCCTGGGTAACTTGGTGGGACCCCCATCTTTACAGTAAATTAAAAAATTAGCTGGGCATGGTAGCACGTGTCTGTAGTTCCAGCTACTTGGAGTGCTGAGGTGGAGGGATTGCCTGAGTCTAGAGGGTCAAGGCTGCGGTGGTTATAAGTGTGCACCGCACTCTAGCCTGGGTGACAGAGTGAGACTCCAACTCAAAAAAAAAAAAAAAAAGAAAGAGAGAGCAAGAGAGAGATTCACCTCCCCATGGCAAGAGAGGGGGGCCAAAGCTAGGAAAACGTGGTGGCCATAGCCCAAAGAACATATGGCCTGGCCAGTGCTTAGCAAAACAATGGCCATGGTTATACTTTTAAACAGCTTCAGAATATGCCCTGGAGTAGATGTTCCAGCTATTGAAAGTTTTGAATAGGAGAGTATCTTGATCAAGGCTAAACTTTCAGAAAATTAATTGGTCAGCAAAGTTTAGGATGGAAGAGCAAGGAGAGAATGTGAAGACCAAGAAAAACACATATAGTTATTTTGCCCTGTTGATGAGGGAAGTACTTACCCCCATTTTCTGGATGATGACATTGAGTCACAGAGAAGTTAAATAACTTATTACAGGTCGTACATTAAGCTAGCTGAGTTTCAGATCATGTCACTTGACTTCATGTAGAGCCTGTTTTAACCATTTTACTACACTGCCATGCACACAGGTGAACAGAAGTGCAAATGAAAGAGAATGAGGAAGACCTGGATTAAGCTAGAAGCTGCAAGAGTGGAGGAAAGAAATGTAAACAATTTCATGCTCTTAACAGGACTTCATAGTTGGTTGACTGTGAGCAGGAGGGTGACAGCGTCAAGTAAGAAAAGGACAGATTTTGAACCCAGCTTTGTCCCTAAACTAGCTATTTGAGCCTACTTTCATATATCTGTAAAGCTGGATAATGTGTCACTTTGCAGGGTGCCGTGCAGATTAAATGAGCTAATGTTTGTAGACACTACAAGTGTGAGTACCCTTCCCCAGTAGCAGTGGTTTTTCTGTGCGAAAGCTTATCCATTTCTGAGGGTGCTTTTTTGCAGGAAGCATTTCTTCCTCCCCTAGTCGCAATCCCTAAATTCATACCTTCACTTCTTCCCCAGTAGTGTGAGAACCAGTGCTTCCATGAGAGGCTGTGCCTTAGGTGTATGGAGAGAAGGTAAGAACTAAAAGTAGAATTGGGCAGTTACCTACATCTAGGGTACTATTGAAAAAATTTTTATTTTATTTTACGTTTTTATTTATTTTTTTTTTTTGAGTTGGACTCTCACTTTGTTGTCCAGGCTAGAGTGCAGTGGCATGCTAACGGCCACCATAACCTTGACCTATCAGGTAATCCTTCCACCTCAGCCTCCAAGTAGCTGGAACTCCAGGCACAAGCCACCATGCCCGGCTAATTTTTTGATGTATTGTAGAAAGGAGATTGCACCAAGTTGCCTAGGCTGGTCTTGAACCCCTGGGCTCAGGCAGTCCTCTCGCCTCGGCCTCCCAAGGTGCTGGGATTACAGGCTTGAGCCACCACTCTTGGCTCAAAATTTTTATTTTAATTATATGTATTTGTGGGGTACAAAGTGGTATTGCCTTTTTTTTTTTTTTTTTAGTGGGAGTCTCACTCTGTCACCCAGGCTGGAATGTAGTGGCATGCTCACTGCCACTGTAGCCTTGGCTTGCTGGGCTCAGGCAGTCCTTCCGTCTCAGCCTTCCGAGTTGCTGGAACCACAGGCGTGTGCCGCCATGCCCAGCTAATTTTTGGATTTATTGTAGAGACAAAGTCTCGCCAAGTTGTCCAGGTTGGTCTCGAACCCCTGGGCTCAGGCAGTCTTCTCGCCTCAGCCTCCCAGAGTGCTGGGATTACAGGTGCGAGACACTACACCCAGCAGCTTCTGTTTTATTTTGACATGCTCCATGATTCTTTCAGTACTTTCTTACTTTGTGATGCAAGAAGATATATTAGGTTAATCTTCCATTTCCTTCCTATAATTTGCCTTTTCTCCAAGGAACCCAGATTTTTGTAAATATTTGTATTCAGTCATCTTTCTATATGCCTGTCTGTTTATCTTGTAAAAGCCAGGAGTTTCTTCTGTTGCCTCCAATTCCAGCCTAATACAACAGGGTACATTCTTTCATATTTGTAACTTTATTCCCCAAAGTAAGGAATCTGGCTTTGATGATCCTCAGTATGTTTGGTCCTTTGCTCAAGCCTAGAATTCATGGAAAGTAGTTTCAGAGTTGCTAGCTCATACCACTGCAAAATGCAGACCTGCTAACTAAAATTGAATCTTTTTGGATAGTGCTTATTATTTAAGTAAAATGAATGTATGTGAAATACAAATTTTAAGTATACAATGCAATGAGTTTTGACAGATGGATATATCTGTGTAATCCACACTCCTGTCAAAATATAGACCATTTCCTTCACCCCAGGATAGTTACCTTGTCTTCCTCCTCGGCCATTCACACCTCTCTCCCACAGGCAACCACTGTTCTAATTTCTGTCTAGATTAGTTTTGCCTACTCTTGAGCTTTAAATAAATGGAATCGTGTAGTATATCTTATTTTGTGCCTGGCTTCTGTCACTCAGCATTTATGAGATTTGTTGCACACATCAGTATTTGTTCTTTGTTGCTGTGAAGTTTTTCACTGTGTTATCATGCCAGGATGTGGCCATTTTTACAAGCTACCACATTGGGCAGATTCTTTGAGAGTGAAAAAGCTCTAGAACCCCATCACATCGTGGGGGCTCTCCGTGCTTGGTACCCCGGGATGATGGGTGGTAAGTACTGCCTAAAACTTAGACGTTCTTGAAAATCAGGTAGAGGTGCTGCGTGTGGTTGCTCATGTATATAATCCCCGCACTTTGGGAGGCAGAGGCTAGAGGATTACCTGAGTCCAAGGGTTCAAGATCAGCCTTGGCAACTTGGTGAGACATCATCTCTATTATAAATCAAAAAAATTAGCCAGGTGTGATAGCACATGCCTGTGGTTCCAGCTACTTGGAAGGCTAAGGCAAAAGGATTGCCTGAGCCCAGCAGGTTGAGGCTGCAGTGGCCACACTCCAACCTGGTGACAGAGTAAGACTCCAACTCAAAAAAAAAAAAAAAAAGAATCAAGTAAAGCAGTAAAACCCCTGGGTTCCCTTTTTCTGTTACAACTTAGTTTATCTGTTTACCAACCTGTATCTGATATTACATGCAGATGTTTTATCAGATGTTTACCTGTGCTGGTTAAAAAGTGACTTTCTAATGGTGGGTTTGATGCTTCCCCCTCTCCATAGAAAGATGATGACATAGAAGAAGGAGATCTTCCAGAGCACAAGAGACCCTCAGCTCCTGTCGACTTCTCAAAAATTGACCCAGGCAAGCCTGAAAGTATATTGAAAATGACAAAAAAAGGGAAGACTCTGATGATGTTTGTCACCGTATCAGGAGACCCCACTGAGAAGGAGACGGAGGAAATCACGAGCCTCTGGCAGGGCAGTCTTTTCAATGCCAACTATGATGTCCAGAGGTAAAGCAGCAACAGCCTGCTGAGAACATCGTGGGCTTTTCTGAGTCTGTAACAGGGTATCCTTTCTGGTGTTTCCCAAGGGCCTGGGCCTTTCCTACTTAGGGTTTCTTTTAAATTTATTTATCTACATTTTTTTTTCTTTAAATAAGAGCATTCATTATTGGTCAAAGCTAGTACTGTTTTTTTTAAATATCTCAATCCTGAAGTTGTGTTTATCTCTATTTTCATCTGTTATTTCATCTGACTAGAAAGTTGTATAGTTTAACCTCTCTGGGGGACAGACTGGTTATGGTTATGGTTTGACAGTTTGCTTCCTTTAGAAGTTTCTACTCAGTGGATAATGCTTTTGTGTGGAGCCGTGTTCACATGTAAAGCTTGGACCAATCTGTTAACAGATAACTAATTTAATATGAAAGGGCCCAGTTTCACAGCTCCTGAGATAACAGTTTTAAGGAATCTGCCTTCTTCTCCTCAACAACGGTTCTGAAATGTGGGGTCTTCAAATATCATAGTTAGGAAATATAAAATGGAAAGAAATGGGAGGAGAACTTAGAGAGTGTCTGGGCTAGTAGAGTGCTGTCATTAGTTTACATGGACACTTCAAGAGAACAAATAAGTGTCTTAGTGATGATGGGTCCAGAAGTCCCAATGGTCTCAGTGGAGTGGTGAGAGTTACAAACTGAAGGGTGGAGATGTGGTGTAGTCCCTCAGGAGCAGAAGGATCACACCCACTGGCCTCACAAGTGGGCCACGAGACCCCATTCTGTTCCTCTTAGCTCCTTGGGACTTGTGAGTGTGAATAAGCCGGGCTGCTAGCTGTTAACCCTCTGGGGTTAGGATTTCTGTCTAGTAGCCAAGTGTCCTCTTAAGCCCTTCAAGGGCCTCTTATCGTGACCTACTCTAAGCCAGTGGTTGTCAGCTTTTAGCAGCAGAAGTGTTTTGTCACATACAACTTTAGACAATTTAGAACATACGAGGGGGGACCACCCCTCCAAAATAAGACCCCAGAATTATCTTTTGTAGGGCAGGCCACTTATACAGGCTTCTTTCTCTAGGTAAGTATTCTAGGAACCCATCGACATCAGTGTACCAGACAGCATTGCTGTGAGAGGCTGTTTTGGCTTCGGTGAAATTTTTTTTTTTTTCCTTTTTAGTTGGAGTCTCACTCTGTCGCTCAGACTGGAGTGCAGTGGCCGCTCCCGGCCACCACAGCCTCGACCTGCTGGGCTCCGGTGATCCTTCCGCCTCAGCCTTCAGAGTAGCCGGAATTGCAGGCATGCGCTACCATGCCCTGCTGATTTTTTATTTATTGTAGAGATGAGGTCTCGCCAAGTTGCCCAGGCGGGTCTCGAACCTGCGACTGAGGCAATCCACTCACCTCAGCCTCCCAAAGTGCTGGGATTACAGGCTGAGCCACCGAGCCATGGCACTTCAATAAATTTTTTTGGGAGGCTTTTTCGAATGTATTTGCCACTTCATGATGAGTGATTTATGAGTGCACCTGCCCACAACATCCTGCGTATTGAGAGTTTTGACCAAAAAGACTCCCATGTCCCATCTTTCCTATTCACCCATTATTACCCTGAGCAACTTTTTTTTTGTCTCCCTGAATGAAAAAAGTCCTCAAAAATAAATGTTTTGCCGATGTGGAAGAGGTGAAACAAAAATGGCAGAAGCACTAAAAGGCATCAAAATTGATGAGTTCAAAAGCTGTTTTGAGCAGTGGAAAAACATCCCAATAGGTGTATTGCATCAAATGGAGAGTACTTTGAAAGTGACCGAAATTTAAACGTGAGAATAAATACACAATATTTTATAAATAAATTCCATTTTTGGGGGGTCCCCCCCTTATAAGACAGATGGAATGGACACCACCTCCTTGCCACCCCAGCAGCAGCTCCTGAGCTTCTCTTCAGTGTCCTGAGGAACTCTCGTTCAGATGCTTTCTCAACAGAGCGTCCACTTTACCACAGGGGACTCCTACTGTCTGGTTCTGTTGTTTTGCTGCGGGCTCGGTGTTTGATAGTTCAGCAAGGTAATATTTTCACATGTTAGCTGTCAGCAACTACTTGGCCTTGGAGAATAGTTTTTTACTGTGGGTTCATGTAGAATTTGAAATGAACGGTTTTTCTGGGTGAGCGTCACAGAATTGATCTGACCCACCAGCACCTTACAGCGTGTACTAACTGTGCTCTCTCTATCAAGGTTCATCGTGGGGTCAGACCGTGCCATCTTCATGCTTCGTGATGGGAGCTATGCCTGGGAGATCAAGGACTTCCTGGTCAGTCAAGACAGGTGTGCTGATGTCACTCTTGAGGGCCAGGTGTACCCTGGTAAAAGAGGAGGAAGCAAAGAGAAAAATAAAACGAAGCAAGACAAGACCAAAAAGAAGAAGGAAGGAGATTCAAAATCTCAGGCATCCAAAGACAACAACCGGGCTGGGAAGAAAAGAGAAGACCTGTGATGGTAGCTGTGGCCCCTGCAGGGACAGGCAGACACGAGACTCTCAGCCGTGCTTGTGGCGGGTGAGGCCTGCTCACTGATGACATTCTGGCTTCTCCTAGAAAGAGTATGCCACATGACCACCTTGTGGTCAGTATAAGAATTATCATCTAAAGACTTCAAATAAGAAGACAGGTTTTCTGATTAACGTTGGACCCTGGCAAATTCACTTTTTCTAAGAAACCATCTTACGTGGAGACTATACTGCCTTCCCGTTTTTACTCGGTGAGTCCAGAAGCCAATCTGTACTGAGGCTCCACTCTCTTCTCCACACTCCTGATCGGATGGCCTGCGTGTCCCTGCTTTTTATTATCTGTTAACTAGAAGGATAGCAGATTCTAATCGGATCAGTTTTTAAGACTCTTAACTCAGTGGAATCAGATTCTTCTTGTTGCATCCATTATTTTCACTGCTGTGAGGGGACAACTATGCTGCGATTGCTCTGCAAGGAGCTCTGGTGTCTGAATATCCAATCAGGAAGCCAGTGTGTATAGATTCAAAACCTGCAGGAAATGCGGAGACAAGATGTGTCACCTGGGAATCCTGAGGAGTTACTTTGAATTCCTTTGACTTGAATCTCACTCGTCAGAGTCCATCAGACTTTATGTGGCCTGTGAAGTTAGCGGTTCTGTTTTCCGTACTTAGGAAAGAGCCATGCTGGTGCCAAGAGTGCATATGTTCCATTTAACATGACAGTTTTAAAGTATATAAATAGGGAATCAGCAGGGTCCTTCACAGGTGACTCAATAACCTCATTTATGTCTAAACATTTTTTTTGATGAAGTGCCTAAATTCGTGATGCTCCGTATGGTACTCAGCAGCTACTGTTACTGTCTGATATTACTATTCATATGTTGGAGCCCACTATGAGTAAGAACTAGAACATTTATACACAGTCATTTTTCATAACTAAAATTCTTTGGAAATGCCTCCGTTGTGAGAAATTAAAACTAGCACATGTATATATGGTTAGGAAATGCCAATGCTAAGGAGATACAGAGTGGAAAAGCACATCCCTCCCTCCTGCCGGCACTTTGTTCTGGTGGAAGCTACTGGTAACAGTTTGTCATCCCCACCCCGCATTCTCACCTTCCTAAAAGTGCATGGAGGAGCTTACAGTGATACCTGTTGTTTCCCTTGCCTCAGTAGCCACTCACACATCCCATTCCTGTAATGAGCCATACCCTCCTCTGCTGTGGGCGGGACATTAGCCCTGCAGTCCCCCAGCCTCCAGGCCCTGCCCAGGCCCAGGGTGAGTTTGCTGGAACCACCTTAAGAAGAGATGTTTCCTGTTTTACTCTTGCCCAGGTTAGAGTGCAGTGGCATGGCCACCGCAGCCTACACCTGCTGGGTTCAGGCAGTCCTTCCACCTCAGACTTCCAAGTAACTGGAACTATAGGTACACGCCGCCATACCCAGCTAATGTTTTGATATATTGTAGAGATGAGGTCTTCCTGTGTTGTCCAGGAGGCTGGGCTCAAACCCCTGGGCTCAGGCAGTCCTCTCACCTCCTCCCAAAGTGCTGGATTACAGGCACGAGCCACCACACCCTGGCCTCTCCTGCATTTTGAATTTGGGAAGACAGCAGACTAGAGTTGCAGTGGCCATCACCTCTGAAGAGAAGGGCTGTTTGGGAGGGGAGTTAACAGGTGGCCAGAAAGAGTGCCGCCCTGGTGGGGTTGACAGTCCCTTGGTCCAGCCACGGTTGAAGCCACTGCTGTCCCTAGGTGCTTTCCATTTTTACTTACGGCAATATTTTGGGTTCCTGTGAGGTGTAGCCATCATGGTTGGGTATCGTGGAGCACCTCTCTCAATGAGGTCATTTTTTTTTTCGAGTTGGAGTCTCACTCTGCCACCCAGGCTGGAGTGCAGTGTCACACTCATGGCCACTGCAGCTTTGAACTGCTTGACTCAGGCAGTCCTTCCACCTCAACCATCCAAGTAGCTGGAACTACAGGCGTGCACCGCCACACCCAGCTAATTTTTTGATTTATTGTAGAGACAAAATCTCACCAAGTTGCCCTGGCTCGTTTCTAACCCCTGAGCTCAGGCAGTCCTCTTGCCTCCACTTCCCAAAGTGCTGGGATTACAGGTGTGAGTCACTGTGCCCGACTGAAGTCATTCTTTTAAATACATAAAAGGGACAGGTTTCTCACTGCCCACGCCTCATGTTTCCACCCAGAAGCTCTTCCATATCTCAGTGCACACATCTGTCTTGTTGCTTCCCGTGTAGCGTATAGCCACTTCAACCAGGACTTTTTTCTGTTGTGTACTAGGTACATGCCAGGGCCAGTGTACAGATAGCCCCTGCTGTCATGGAGTTCAGTGACTTGGTGGGGGAAGACACACAAAAGCACAATGGTAGCTGTTGAAAGTATGAAAGAAGAGGCAGGGTAGGTAGGTGGAATCTTACCTGACAGGCTAGGGAGGTCAGAGGCCTTCCCTGAGGGCAGGAGGAGGAGAGGAAGAATAAGACAGGCAGAAGAAACAGTTCAGCCCTGTGGCAAGAGGTAGTGAAGGGAGGGACTGCAGGAAGGTCAGCATGGAGGCAGGGTCCAGGCCTGGGCTGGAGGTGCAGTCCTAGAATTTGGTACACCCTGGTGGATTTTAAGCTGAGATGGGTGTGGAAGGCAGTCCACGTGATACTGGCTGCACAGAAGTGCCTGGTGGGTGTGAAGCTTGAGGTGAGAGTGTGCGTCAGTAGTCCAGGCCATAGCTGATGGTGGCCCAGAGCAGCAGGCAGTGCTGGTGAGGCTTGAACCACTGTTACCTGCATAGTCCCCGTGGTGGATGTGCGAGTTTTCAGGTTTTTGCTAATATATTTGATGCTCCATAGACATTTCTGCATAAAACATTTCGGTGATCATTTGTATCTGAAAGGTAAATTCTTTATTATTTTTTGATTCGGGGTCTGACTTGTTCACCCAGGCTGGAGTACAGTGGCACAACCACACAGCTCACTGCAGCAACTTCATGGGCGAGGGTGATTCTTCTGCTTCACCCTCTTTAAGTTCCTGGGACTATAGGCAAGTGCCACCACTCCCAGCTAGATTTTTATTTTTTTGTAGAGATGATGTCTTGCTATGTCACCCAGGCTGGTCTCAGACTTCTGGGCTCAAGCAATACTCCAACCTCAGCCTTCCAAAGTGCTGGGACTATACGCGTGAGCCACCGTACCCTGCCTGAAAGCTAAATTCTTAACAGTGGCATTGTTAGAACATACAGAATTTAGCGTTTTGGTGTATATTGCCAAATTGTCCTCCCAAAGGGTTTAGTCAGCTCACTGTCTCCAGCAATCTCTCCTGCTATCCCCGACAGCATTCATGCGGCAGGACACCTGCATTTGAATAGATTTTAATACCATGTCTTAATTGGCTTCCCTGAAGCCACACTGTACAGAAGCCATGTACAGAGTCCACATGGAAAGAGATGCCCAGGGAGCCCTGACCTTATAGCTGCCCCCCTGGGGTAGATACACAGGTTTAACCATCTCCAACCCAGCTGATGCCCAGGGGGACCACGTTTGTTGTCCCATGAAGCCCTGTGCAGTCTGCATTTTCCTGAGCAAAAGAAATGTGTTTCTAATGAATTTGTCTTCATGCTTCCATCTTTGTTTTACTGTCTAGTGATCTAATAAATTTGGGTGATATCTTTTGACTGTCAGGTGTGAAACCTGAAAACCACCTTAGGTATAAACACCCCTCCCCCTTCAGTCTCTGGGCTTTGATGGTTATGCTATGGTTTTTATACTTCTGGTGGTTTCCTTTATAATGTTAAATACCTTTTTCTTTTTAAATTAAGCCTACTTAGATGGTGTATATTAGCCACTAGACAAAGGGAAGAAATTTATAAACTTTTCTGTATCCCTGATTATTGTTTAGTAATTGTTATTTATACACTGATGTATAATATTCATCTTCTGTAACCATCATGGTCACCTTTATGCTTGAACGGCAGTGTGCAGGGTCTGAGATTTCTGGGCCTTGCTTTTTAGGGACAAGGATCTCACTGTCACCCAGGCTGGAGGGCAGTGGTGTAATCATGGCTCACTGTAGTCTCAAACTCCTAGACTCAAGGGAATCTCCTGCCTCAGCCTGCCAAGTAGCTGGTACTACAGGCATGCACCACCACACTGGGCTAATTTTTTTTTTTTTTGAGTTGGAGTTTCACTCTGTCACCCAGGCTGGACTACAGTGGCACACTTGCTCACGGCTACCACAGCCTCAACCTGCTGGGCTCAGGCGATCCTCCTGCCTCAACCTTCCAAGTAACTGGAACCACAGGCACATTCCACCATACCCAGCTAATGTTTTGATTTATTGAAGAGATGAGGTCTCACCAAGTTGCCTGTGCTGGTCTTGAACCTGTGGGCTCAGGCAATCCTTTCACCTCAACCTCCCAAAGTTCTGGGATTATAGGCGTGAGCCTCTGTGCCTGGTTTGGGCTAAAAATAAATCTTGTGTAGGGACAGAGTCTCACAAGGTGGGTGCAGTGGCTCAAGCTTATGATCCCAGCACTTTGGGAGGCCAAGGCAAGAGCATTGCCCGAGTTCAAGAGTTTGAGACGAGCCTGGGAAACATAGACCTTGTCTCTACAAAAAAAAAAAAAATCAAAATTTGCCAAGTATACTGGTGCACACCTGTAGTCCCAGCCACTCAGGAGTCTGAGGCAAAAAGATTGCCTGAGTCTAAGAGGTCAAGGCTGCAGTGAGCTGTGATTGTACCGTTGCATTCCAACCTGAGCGATAGAGTGAGGCCTCTATAGCTGTGTTACCCAGGCTGGTCTCACTGTGTTACCTAGGCTGGTCTTGAACCCCTGGCCTCAAGTGAGCCTTCTCCCTTAGCATCTCAGGTCCCTGGATCTTCAGGCATGAGTTCTGCTCCCCCTCCTATCTCTCAACACTTTTTTTTTCTTTTAGAGGCAGAGTCTCACTATCGCCCAGGCTGGAGTGCAGTGGCATGCTCACAGCCACCACAGCCTCAACCTGCTGGGCTCTGGTGATCCTTCCACCTCATCCTTCCAAGTAGCTGGAACCACAAGTATGTGCCACCACACCCGGTTAATTTTTTGATTTATTGTAGAGATGAAGTCTCACCAAGTTGCCCAGGCTGGTCTCGAACGTGTGGGCTCAGGCAATCCTCTTGCCTCTGCCTCCCCCAGTGCTGGAATTACAGGCATGAACCACTGTGCCCAGCAAAAAAAATTGTCATCTATTGTTTACTTATTTTGGTTTTGTGTTGGTCTTTTGGGTACCAATGTCTTTCTTAGATCTGAAATGAGTTTGTTTTTTAATGTTCAGTTTTTATCTCATCTTTGAACTGTTTTTATTGAGTTCCTGTAACTCGAAAAGTGCAAATGGTGAATCTCCATGTTGGGTCATAATTTTTCCAAGGCTGGAGTTTGCATTTGTATGCTATATTTTGTTGCTGTTGTTTTCTAATTCCAAAATGTTTGGCTGACTGCCACATCTCTGTTGTCTTCCCCTCCTGTTCATGCTTAGCAGCCTCAGCTCTTCCCTGACCTTGGCCTACATGAGCCTTGGAGGTGACTTCCTCAACTCCTTTCCCTTCTTATCTGTGTCTTGTCTGCTTCCCTGGGAGCTACAATCCCAAGGCTGAATATTGCCTTTTTAGCTTTTCTATAACTGACTGGAAATGGAGAGGAGCTCAGAAAAGGCTGTGCCTGGCTCTGCTTGGCAGGTAGCCTGTGGTTTTACTAAGTGTCCTAGACTGGGGTTCTCCTCCCCTGTGGGGGAGGGGGCAGTAACTGCTATTCCAAGAAAAATGACTGTCAGCACTAGAGAATTCCCACATTAGCAGTGGACCTTGGACCTGTGGCTTTCCCAGGGGAGGGGCGTCCTGGAGTTTTCTCTGCCTCACTTCTCACTCTCCAGTAGCTACTTCCTGTGACCTCTACAGAGGAAGGCAAG